GTCTTTTTTTTAAACATTACACTTCACGAACATGGACGGCCGCGTACACATACTTGTATGGACCGTCAGTACCTACCAAATACACATATTGCCACGCTTAGAATACCCAAATAATTATGATAATATTCAAATACCATTGAATGGATGTTGCAATTGTTATAAAAGTTGACATATCGACTTGGAAATTACTGTTGATTACGGTACCTATTTATTGTTAACTATTCAAGTGTATAAATAAATAAAATATAGTAGTACCGTAAAACGGGGTTACTTTGCCAACCGTCGGCTAACTTTGCACCGTGCGTGTAAAAGTACATTATTATCCCTTTACAAGATACACTGGTAAATTTCTAGCAATTACTATTTTTATCCAATAGGGGGAGTTACAATAGCCGCAGGAGTCGATTTAATATGCTTCGGTCGCCGGCCACACGCCGACAGTTGCATTCAAAAATCAAAATTTGTGTTATTTGTTGGGTGTAAAATCTTGATGGTGAGAGAGCCCCAGTTGCCAACAAAATGTAAGTATTATCTCATTCGTATGTATTATTATTGTTTTAACTGTGTACGCACTGCAACAGTCCAATTTAAATAGGAACAATTCCTTGGTTAAATGGGGAAACTTTGCACCAGCGTCATGGTGCAAAGTATCCCCCACGAAAGTGGTGCAAAGTATCCCAGTGAATTTTCTTTATCTAGTTTTATTGTTTCTAGAAGATGCCAAGGGTTTATAAGAGGGTGCCAGGCTCTCGGAGGTATGGCGACTACACCCAAGAAAACTTGGATAAATGTTTAGAAGCGAATGGAATGAGTACCAGAACAGCCGCGGAGGCTTATAATATACCACGGAGGACCATTATGAATAAATTGAAAAATGTACACACGAACAAACCAGGTTACCCTACTACATTTACAGAAGAAGAAGAAGAAAGGACTTTTGTTTCCTGCGTTCATCAAATGAGCGAGTTCGGGTTCCCGGTGACTGAGATAGAGCTTCGTCAAATAGCCAGGACATTTTTGAATAAGAAAGGTGGGTAAATAGGCATTGTTGATTTCTGTTAAATTTATTTTATTCCTCTTCCACAGGTAGGAGAATACCCCGCTTCAAAGATAACCTTCCTGGCAAGGAATGGGTTAAAGCTTTCTTGAAGAGGCATAAGGACCTAACAGTAAGGTTTGCCACCAACATTAAGCGGAGCAGAGCAGCTCTCAGTGGTCAGCAAATGCAGGATTATGTAGAAAACTTGAAGCAAACCTTGGAGGGGGTTCCACCAAATGCAATTTTCAACTATGATGAGACCAATTTAACAGACAATCCTGGTCAAAAAAAAGTTTTAACCAAACGGGGCATGAAATACCCAGAAAGGATAGTTAATTCATCAAAAAGTTGTATATCCCTAATGATTGCAGGAAATGCAGCAGGTGAGGTTCTACCACCTTATGTGGTATACAAATCAAAACATTTATGGGACACGTGGACAAATAATGGCCCACCTGGGACTCGCTACGCCAACACAGCATCTGGGTGGTTTGAGTCAGAAACATTTTCTGATTGGTTTTTTCAGCTGTTATTACCAACATTAAAAAAAATTGAAGGTAAAAAGTTATTATCGGCGATAATTTATCTTCCCATTTGAATGTTGATGTGTTAGCAGCTTGTAAGGACCATGATATTAAATTTGTATGCTTGCCGCCAAATAGCACTCATGTAACACAACCCTTAGATGTGGCATTCTTCGCTCCATTGAAAAAGGCATGGCGTGAAATTTTATCACATTATAAAGAGTCCCACGTTGGAAGCAGGTCAAATGTGCTCGAAAAACAACACTTTCCGACACTTCTCAGACGACTGATGGAGAAAATTTCTGAAAATAGTGCTTCAAATTTAATTTCAGGATTCAGAAAATGTGGAATCGTTCCTTGTGATGTAGGTCCCTTATTAGAACGATTACATAACAAACATAACAGTGTCGTCAATCGAGAGAATGTATCTGAAATAGAAAAATCGTTTCTTGAATCTTTGGAAAATAAAAGGACAGAGGCTACTCAGTTTCAAGTTCGGGGAAGGAAGAAAAAAATAACAATTCCAGCCGGAAAAAGCATTGCTCACGGCGAAATCGGTTCTGCTGATTTACCTGGGACTTCGGGAATAGTTACAGCTCCAATATCCAAACACTAATATTGATTTAATTACTTGCAAAATTTTTAGGATATTTGATAAGATATTTATTAAAAATTACTGAATATAATGTCAAAATGTGGAGCAAAGTAACCCCGTTTTACGGTAACATATTTCTTGCATACTGCACCTATTAGTGCGTATATGTATACCACACAAAATCTATATCCTTGTCGTTGCAAATCCAAGGCACTAATAAAGGAGTGTATTCCAAAATCTGGATGTCAGTCAAGAAATATAGATATCTCGAAAAATCAATATCACAAAGCAATGACAACCATTAGCCATATATCAAGTTGAGTGTCCCACAGCACTACCACTAGCGTATAAATACAACCTACATTTTAATTCACGAGTATCCATCACGCTTTCACGTCTACTGAGGTAAGCAGCTGATCAGCTAGTGACTTTTTTGTGTTAGTCTGCAACGTTGGCTGTAATGAATCGGGTGTAAATCTAGCAAAAAAAATTTTGTAGCGTTTTTTTATCCAATTTAACTTTGCTAAATAACCGAGGTTCTAGCAAGTACAAAATTAATCTGTAGCATCCAAAAAGACAAAATAAAATATGGCTCTGTCTACCTTGGATTGACGGACTCGTCAGAATTATGTGTCGTTTGGCGATATGGAGAATTTTGAAATCTTACTGGACTGTCATTCTACCGTAATGAATACTCGTGAAATAGGATATGTATAACAAGGATTGCACAAAAATCACAGAGTACCTGATGTAGTATTTTGAACTTTATCTGCTAAGAAGTAGTTCTACTCAGCGAAAAACAAAACTTCGAAAATTTCTGATTAACAGTCAACATTAAAAAAGATTTAATATAAAGTAACCTCATTATCCTATTCCTGTTCTGCTAAGGCAAGGTTTTAACTTTAATGTATATACTTGGCGACCTTAAAACATATGGTTTTAAGCATTGACCATATCCATTTTTATGGCAGTTCACACATTATATCACGCCGAACTCAAATATCAGGCCTGCTTTAGAGACAAGTTAATGAAAGTCTTTTGTTACAAACAATGCAAACAACCCGAGAATTTAATAATAATAATAATAATAAATGGCCTTTATTCGTCACACGATTACAAAATAATTGGTTTAAAAGGAACAGTGACGAAAAGGTGGAGTGTCAGCTTATGCTGTTTTTCAACCCGACCTGGAAAACATTGACACAAACTATAGAGAGAGAAAAAAAAAACTTAGAATATAACACTTATCAGAGAAAGGAAACAATCAATTACCTGTGGATATGCATAAAGTAAAATTTTAGCCATCCGACTGCTTTAAACTCATCTTTAACCTTTTTTTAAAATTGCTTAGGCTATATTCTTTATACTCACTTGATAAGCAGTTATATAGTTTGGGTGCCCAGTACGAGAAACTGCGTGTGAACAATGCTGTCGAATGCCGCGGGATAAGTAAGATGAGTTTATTCCTAGAGGATCTTTGATCGTACTGGCAGAGGAGGCTTAGTTTTGTATAAAGATAATATGGCGCTTTAAGGATAAGGGTCTTATGTACCAGAGATAGGCAATGCAGTTTCCTCAATTTGTTCATCTTAAACCAGATTGGTCAAAAGCGCTACTAATATGATCAAATTTACGGATTCCATAAGAAAATCTGATGCATGAGTTTTGTATCATCTGAATCCGCTCGGCATCACGTTGTAAAAGAGCAGGTCCATAAACAGAGTCACCGTAAGATAATTTTGACAGGATAAGGGACTCGCAGAGTTTAAGCTTGAGCTGTGTCGACAGGACACTTCGACTCGGATATAACTGACGAAGCACATTATAGGACGCATTGCATAGTTGGTTAACATGTTTAGTGAAGCGTAGCTTGCAGTCAAACCAGATACCAAGGTTTTTGCATTCGTTTACGAAGGATATGTCTTCATTATTCACCATAATATTAATGCGATATTGATTTATTTCACGATTCTTTTTGGGCCCAAATAAAATGCAGCTTGATTTGCCAGGATTTAGTTTTAGATTGTGAGCACTAGATATGTCAAAAATAGACTGCAGGTCTTGATTTATTTGATGTTGGCCAAGCATATATTCATCAGGATCGAAGCAGTTATAAAGTTGGGTATCATCGGCGTAATGATGAACGATTGAGTTGCTGGCGGTTTCATGAAAATCACATATATAAAGAGCAAATAAAAGGGGACTCAAAATAGATCCTTGAGGGACACCAAAATTTCTGAATAAAGAAGTTGATATATTGTTTTCATATATGACAGACTGTGAGCGATCAGTTAAAAAGCTCTTAATCAGCGTGCAAGCCGATGATGACAGGCCAAAGTATCTAAGCTTTTTACAGAGAATATTTGGGTCAACCGTATCGAAGGCCTTGCTAAAATCAAGAAGAACTAAGCAGGACAGCTTTCCTTGATCAACCGCGCTATAAATATTATCCGATATAGACAGGAGCGCAGCGGTGGTGCTATGTAATGGTCTGAAGCCAGATTGGGAGGTGGTCAGTAAATTATTTTGACAAACAAATGTGTGCAGCTGCTCATGTAGAGCCATTTCCAAAAGCTTAGATAAACTTGGTAAAATGCTTATAGGACGAAGATCAGAAAAACTTGAAGGATAATTAGATTTAGGCAGAGGGAGAACAAGAGCATTCTTCCAGGAAGAGGGATAAAGATTATTTGTTATACAAAAGTTAATAATGAAGGTAATATACTTGAGCAAATGCTTATGTATTATACGGATCATATCAATTGTGATGCCATCTGAGCCTTTGCATTTGTTCTTGCAAAAGCATTGCTAATTTATATAAAAAAATGATACACATTTCACGTTACAGCGCGGGTACATTGAATACCTAAAACAGTAAAAAAATTGTAATCTTGGAAGTTCCCCAAGAATGTCAATTATAGTTCAACACTTGCTCAACCAGAACTGGAAACGCATTTTGAGTGTATGTATTTATCTAATACTGTCAAAAGCGATAAAACCATCTTCACTCAGATATATTAAAATAAAATTTCTAACACTATACATCAGAGCTTAGTACAATAACGCTTCAACTTATGAAAATCAGCAGCTCCATATATCCCACTATGTAGTTGTTTTGACGAAAACTCCTATGTGGTTAGAAGCGTTTATACAGAATGACATAAAAAATGTTTTAAATTGAAAAAATAGGTTTCGCTTCCATCCATCTTATGCCTCGTGTTGCAGATCCTGGTCTGCTTCTTCCTCGGCTACGATCTGTTCAAGCTGCCGCATAATTTCAGTTTTGAACTGCAATTTTTTCTGGCGGCTTCTTACGTGTGACAAAGACATGGCCAATGCCCGACCGAAGAGAATATCCTCGTTCTCCACCTCAGGCTGCGTTATAAAGCGTATTAGCTCGTCCACTTTCCCCAACATCTGCTTGTATATTTGTACCTGTACGGGTACTCGGACGCCTCTGGATGCGTTACCCCTCCTTAACAGTTGTCGACGACGATGCGCGAATCTCTTCTCGGGTAACGACGAGGCCCCTTGAGACTCCGGCCTTTCTGGTTGACCTTGTGTACCCGCGTCTGCCTGTGGAGTGCTCGCCTGATTCTCCTCATTTGGAGATGGCGGCGCATCCTCTACCATTCCCATTATTGTCGCCAATGTATCCGACACTTCACTCGTTGTTTGTAGATGAGCCATCTGACTGAATGTTGCTGCGGGTCCTGAAAATAATAGATCATCTATTTAGTAATGTTACAATTTGGGATCTGTTGTCACATTAAATTGACAATAGAAATTCACACCCCATGTGTATACACAGACCAAAGTTGATGAGTTGCTCTTAACAATGATGGACTTTAGTATTATAAATTTCGTGTCTTTGACTGAGACTTGGGCCTTGAGCGAGTCAACCAGAAATTTTGTAATCGACAACTTTCACATTTGTAGGCACTATTGTAGATCACAGTTCAGAGGAGGGGGCACAGCCTTATATACCCGGAAAACTGTATCTACCAAAAGATCTTACTAATTTTTGTGTTGAAAAACACATAGAACTATGTGCTTCTCAATTTAAGGACAACGGTATAACCACGATTATAATTGAATGTTATAGATCACCTTCAAGGGATATAAAAGTGTTCCACGATAAATTGGATCAAGCAATACATTCCGTTTATCAGCCGTACCACCACATAATTTTATGTGGCGATTTCAATATAGATTATTACAATCAAGGTCCTGAATCTGGAAACCTGAATAGTGTCCTCAGTGAATTCAATTTGTCTCCATCAGTGGGATGGCCGACAAAAATAGGACGAAGTTCAGTCAGCACTAATGATCAGATATTTACAAATTTTGCGGTCAGTGGTACTTCCTGCGCTTTAGAGAATAATATGTCAGACCACAGGACAGTCTTCTTCAAATTCCATGAAAACATCTCAACAAAAAACAAACCTAATAATATCTGGAAAAGGTGCTACGATGAAGACTCAATAAACAAATTCATGTCAGATCTATGTGCTGAAGATTGGTCTCTACTATATAACATGATCGATGTTAGCCTCGCGTTTGGACTTTTTTTTGAGGTATTTATCTACCACTTTCAAATGAATTTTCCACGGCGAATGCATACGGTTTCAACCAAACGAAAATTGAGGGTGAACGAAGAAATAGTGCGTTCTAGTCACAATTTAAAGGAACTTCATTATTTAGCAACAGTAGTTCCAGAATGTAAACAACAATAAATTGAAAAAAAGAGACAACACAATAAATTAACAGAACATACAAAACGAAGGTATTATCAGAAAAAAATATTTAATTCCAGCAACAAAACTAAAACTGTCTGGAAGCCTGTTTCTGAACTGACCGGAAATAATACAAAAAAAAACAATAATATGAGTTCGACTACTAGATCCAATCAGAAAAACCGTCCTGATGAATTCAACCAGTTTTTCAAAAATGCACCTGTAGAAATCGTCAGAAATATTCCAACAAATCCCATTCATGATAATACCTTTAGTTAGTTCGAGCAGGGAGGATACACGGCATTTGATGTTGCTGTATCCATTTACTGATGATGAATTATTTGACTTAATTAATAAAAAGCTAATAAACAAACATTCGACTGGGCCTGATGCGATCCCAAATTTTATAGTAAAAAAAGCATTGAATTACATTTTAAAGCCACTGGTCTTCATGATCAATATATCCTTCTGCACTGGGAAATTTCCTTGTCTGCTAAAAACAGGAAAGGTGATTCTAGTATACAAAAAAGGGGATCCCTCTGAACTGAGTAATTACAGACCAGTAACAATACCATCAAATTTTTCAAAAGTATTCCAGTACTGCTACCTGGACAGGTTGTTTTTGTTAAATAATAATATTTTGACAGGGAATCAGCACGGTTTTCGAAATGGGAAATCAACGGCAACAGTAATTCACAGCTTCTACGGAACCTTTGTCAAAATGATTGAGGCGGGCGAGTGCCCTGTTGGGATCTTTTGTGATCTCAGGCATTTGACTGCGTCAATCATGAAGTGCTGTTGCAAAAAATGTCAAAGTATGGCATAAATGGTCCACCATATCACTGGATAAGGTCTTTTCTAGAGAATAAGTACCAATTTGTGAGTATCGTCGATAGTGGTCTGAATGCGCCTATTAAGTCCGATATAGCTGACATCTCCGTACGCGTCCCTCAGGGCTCTATTCTAGGACCTGTGCTATTCCGACTATATGTAAATGACCTTGAGTTCTGTTCCTCTGAAGGTAGATTCATTTTATATGCAGATGATACTTCAGTGGTGATATCGAATAAGTGTGAGGCTACATTAGAGAGATATTGTGGAGTTTTATTGCAAGGTATTCATTTAGCAGCAATCAGCTCTACTTGAATTCGGAACATCAGTTGTCCAGTTTTACAACATCCATAAGAAGCTTAGGACATTAAATACCACTTTTAAAGGCTCAAGAATGTCTCTTAACACACAAGTTAAATTATTGGGCTTGTATCTAGATACAGGTTTGAATTTTAAAGACCACTGTGTATATATTGCTTCAAAGATAAACTCCCAATCAAACCTTATGAAAAATTTGCGAACTGTCCTTACCGAAGCATAGATAGTTTCTGTTTACTATGCTCAAGTTGAGACACGACTGAGGTATGCATTGTGCTTCTGGGGTTTGTCAACAAATGCCCCGCAAGTATTTTTGGCCCAAAAAAGAGTGGTTAGATGCATGATGGGAGTCAGTAGTAGGCATTCTTGTCAGGATATTTTTAAGTGCCTAAAGATTTTAACTTTACCATCTTTATTTTTATACGAAATGGCTGTGACTTTTATTAACAAAACTAAGTTTTTAAACAATTTTAACTCGTACTCGACCAGACAAGCTGGAGACTTAAATGTGTATTTTGGCAAGTATACGATCGGCGTCAGGTCTGCGGAAATACTGGGTCCACGAATTTTCAACAGGCTACCAAACCATATTAAAGAGTGTGGAGATATACATAATTTTAAGGCTAAACTGATAGATTTTCTTGTGTGCAAATGTTATTATGCCGTCTCTGAGTTTGTTATGTTATGATTTATTTGTGTGTTTGTTTTATACATATATTTATTTTGTGTTGTTTTATTAGTTTTTATTGCGACGAATCCTATACATACTTTGTAATGTCTCTTAGGATAATAAAAGAATTTGAATTTGAAATGCTAACAAAAATTTATATGCACAATAAAAAAGGAAAAAGGTCTAAACATTGCATACTGTCAAAATACTATAGCATCAAAAAGCTAAAAAAACTTAATCAACTACTTCATAGCTACTATAATTTTTTGCAGGCATTCATATTTGTTGAGTTGTATAATCTAGCCATGTGGAATATTATACTACTGTTTTGACATAGGACAGCATACCAAATTGTCTTCTTGAAATTGTTATTTCTGAGCCCTCTCTGATCAATATCACCTCTTGGTACAAATTTCTCCCAGTGGTATGTGGTTTTCGCATACCTATTCACAAGTTTATGGATGAACACCTTCAAGCAAAGACCCACTTACTGTGCATCTGCTCTGAATCAGCACAATTCTTTACCCTTTGACAAGACATGAATAAATTAACAAAGGCCAAATACAAACTTGCAGCATTTTTTTAAATTTTTGCAGACCATATCAATCTGACATCTCAGTAAGAATAAATACTATTAATGATAGAGAGAACATAATCAAGCTTTACACTATGAGAATGCACTTAACTGAGTGTTTGCCTACCTATGTTGACAGACACTGATGGTATGTCAGTAATTTTTATTAAACTAAAATCTATTTGCAAAATTTACACATTTAATCCTTTCATTTTGTCATTCCAAATCACTATTTTCACTTTCATACATTATTGGTGTGATCACTATAATATGGTCAATATGACATGGCCAGATTTGATTTTTTCAATTTATAACATCATGCATTAAGAAAACAATTGCCACACTCATATGGTTCCCACCACCTTTAGGGAATGCATTTTTCTCCAAATGTTATTTTACTTTGCCCCCATATTCATGTCTGTAAATCTAGTAAAACTTGTTTGTACAATTTTGTTTTATCTATGCAAATTCACTTTTCTAAATAAAAAAGCTTGTAGCAAGTGCAAAATTAATATGTATGTTTAATAAAAAGGCTCTGTTTACCTAGAATTGACGAATGTGTCGGAATTGTGTCATTTGCAGATATGTGGAATTATGAAATGTTACTAAATAATCAGCTGTCATTGTACCATAATGGCTACTTGTGAAAAAGTCTATACTTATACATACCTTCTAGGGTTAATCATCGGATCCAAAAAACCCATCTTTTGGTATAGTGGGCATTCTGCCTCAGTACCACCTGCGGTGCCTGAACGGGATTCCAATGCTCTCTTCCGCTCTTTTACATATCTCGCCTTCAAAGTGGTCCACCTGTTAATGGCTTGGGCAGCTGAAATATATTCATTGATTACATGATACCCAATTAGAACATTTGCTAACATAGATTCCAAATTGGCTATCTACCTACATGAGATATTAGGATAAGGCACCGGAGGGCCCTTATTTTCTTAGCTCAAAGGGCGGTTTTTTGTTTTTGTTTTGAGCGACATTGAAAAAATATTTAGAATTTTTTTTTCAGGGAAATACATTTGTTTTGCGATCAACAGTCCTGAATTAAGCTAAAAGCACATTTCAAAATAAATACCGTTAAATGATGGTTTTCCTGTTACAAATTATGTACAGCTGTGTTATGCATTTATCCATATTATGCTTTCTTGGACACTAACTATACCTACTATTATTTCCTATATTTTCCTGAAAACGGAAGTTTTGGCCTCATGAGCCACATTAATCAAATTCAAGCGGATAACCAAATGGAAATGGTATTTACCATTTTGGGTTGGTATTTACCGATCCGTTCAAGCGAGTGTAGTTATCAGTTTGGTTATAAGATCCGTGACGTCACGAATCAGCTGTTATATGTCATAGTTATCACCGCAAAATTGTGGTATTTACCCAACTCAAGAGTAGTTTTATATTTCTGGTTATTATTTGAAATGTGACAAGTTAGAATTTTGCCGGGTATTGGATATTGTTATTGTACTTCAGCTTCATTTTTGAGAAAATTGATACAGGCTGACTTCAGTTTTACCATAAAGTGGAGCACCTTATTAGTTATACTCATTACGGTTGTTGGGGACACTTGTAGTTCCTATGCTTAACAAAGTATCCTGTGTAGCCATATACCATAAGAATAGTAAAATATGGCCATATAAACTCACTAGATGATATCCACCTGTATATGGTTTTGCTAATTTCTTTTTTCATCATTTCTGCTGAATCAATAAATGTTTTCTTTGACATGCGGAAAAATTTAGAGAATTGAAAGTTATCATAGCTACAAAGCCATGGTTCCATCATTAAAAAAAAAATCTGAAAAAAACATTTCTCCCATGAATATTATGAAAGGTTTCTTATTTAAAACTTTCCATATACAGTTATAGACGAAAAAGCACCGATTATTAAGTGATAATAAAAATAATCAGAGATTATATACGCGCTTTTCTAAAATAAACAACTTAGAACAAAACTGCGGTTAAAACCAACGCGTTCAAGCGATTCGTGTAACTGACGTCATCAACCCGTGTGTCATCAACCCGTGTGTCATCTTGAAACATATTATAACCGCGGCACATAACACAGAAATTTTGGTTATTCGCTTGGATTTGATTATTGACGAATACAATACAATTCAAGATTGACATTTCACCGTACGTCTTGTGTCTTTATTGACGGATAAATAACCGCTAACGTGCGGTGTTGTTAACTTGCGAGTTTTCTTGGGAACAATCCGCAATTCGACGAATTGCTATTTTAATAAATGTGTTTTACACATCCTTTGTAAAACCGGAAAAAATGATTATATTATTCAATACTAAGTCCAACAGGGGGCAGATATGTAGGTGTTTCAAGTCAAGTATTATTTATTGGCTTACCAGATATGTGCATTATATCAGCAATTGTGGCCCATGCGTTGTTTTTCGCGTTTTTATTTCGGAACAACGCATGGGTCTTATCCCACAAATGAGTATACTGCCGGACAACCTCCACCAGTTCTTCATCCCGCTGGCTCATTTTTAAAACCGGAAAACTAAACTATTTAAACACCAAGAAACACAGAAAGGCAATACAGCACGGAAGCGAACACTGCAAGACACGGTAATCAACTGGCTTGCCAAAATAGCATTACCCCAATATATTCAAGATACGGCCGTGCAAATACAGCCCATATCAAAAACATTTGACACAACAAAAAATATACGGAAAAACCCCAACCAGGGACAGGTAGAAAGGTTGGCATGAGTTGTAGGGTTGACAGGTACGTACAGCAGCGCCAACCACAGCAGGGCCGAGCCAGCTTTCAAAATAGCGTTGTCCCAATATATTCAAGATAGGAACAAAAAATACCAAGGGTTGTCGGGCAACTACTGCCATATCAAAAACATTCGACAAAACAAACAAACTGGGATTACCAAAGTAGTATTATTCAAATATAATGCGATACGGAAAAACCCCAATCGGGGACATGCAGGTAGAAAGGGTGGCACGGGGTTGTGAGCTTGACAGGTACGTACAGGATTTGTTTGTCGGACCGGTCCAATGAATTCGAATACGGGTTGAAGCAGTGGCGGATTTAGAGGGGGGTGCGGGGGGCGCCCCCCTCCAGATGTCTGACACTTGCTTTTGTATTCTAACACCATTGTGTTACTTTCTGACACATCATGGTGACAGAAGCATACTAACTATAAGTTATAGCTACAGGAACTGATCATTGCGCTTTCTTTGGTATCCTTTGGTACTCCAAATGCTGACCCTCTTTGACATCATTTGTTTACAGCACAATTCTTACGATTTATACGTATAACGTATACGAGTATTGTGACTTCTGACAAATCCAAGTCTGAGTACCTAATATATTACAGATTGCACTTAAAAGGTGATTTATGTTCTGTTTATTGCTCAATAGAAAAAAGTGTGTAAAGCTTACTGATTTTGTTCGGAATTGGTGTTGCAGCGAAGCACTATGTTAGATGAACGCCTAAATTGGATATTTATGAGATTTGTTTAGCGGTGCGCCTGTGGCCTGTCCAGGAACTGCGTCGATCGATGCTTAAAGTTAATACCACACGCCCCCCATCACTTCTCGTATATGTTATTTATGTTGCTATATTGAATTCGTTTAAATCACAGAGCTGCTGCACTACACGTGAATAGGTACAGCTCAATATTCATGTACTTGTTTCGTACAAACATGCATATCAAAATAATTACGATCTAACAGATAGTTTTTTTACAATGATTTCCAACCCCTGCTGAGCGGGGCCGTGGCAAATGCTTGTTCCGGAAGTTGTTGTATCCAGTATACAATTTCTTCCCGTTCAAGTGATTGTACACGCGTTAAGGAATCCTGGTGGATTCCTCGAGTACTAAGAATTGCGGATGTAAACTCACTCCATTCTCGGAACGGACGGGTGGAGGGTGGACTCGAGGGAACATCGAAGATAAAATTTGTTTTTTTTATACTCGAACTACCACGAAGGCCTAAGGCCTAAACACACATGCGGTACCGTGGGGCTATAGGGGGATACAGGGGAAAGGTGGAACGCCACACGGACTCTGGCGAGGGAACATGCATATATTCTGGCCCCGCCTACGAAATCCGCCGGGTGGTACCTCCGCGTCCGACAGTCAGAGACCGTCTACCACCTACGGACAATCACAACATCCATAGCCAAGAGAAAAATTTCTCCTGGGACGGGATTCGAACCCGCACAGCGGACGGCGACTGATCAGGAGACCGAAGAGTCTACTACTTCGGCCACCGCTGCTGCCTATAAATACTTATTTATGACCCTTAACATCACTCAAGCAACAGAATTGATTATATTGGGAGGATTATGAACGTTATCAATCAAAATCAGTGAAAGGCTCAAAATGAAGTTAGGAACATAGTCAACGCTTCTTGGTATAGGTACTCGTATTAGGGGATTTCATTGCAATTTGAATACCACTCCAGTTATGATCGAGGTAAAAAAATTCAGGCACGAAAAAGCGAACATCTGCGGGATTAACAGCAACATTGATGCTGTACATAACTAAATACTTGCAATCCAATCGTCCCGCCATGCTTTGCTTGGCGGAGACAAAAATCTCAGAGTCCGCACCGATAACCATCTTAGCTTCCCCAATTACGAGGTGCACTCCAATCTGAGAAAGAACGGGGGAGTTGTGGTCTTTCTCCGCAAAGATGTTTCTCTGGAATCAGACCGCCTCAACTCCAAAACATCCCCCAAGTTTATTTGCTGCCTTTATCGCTCACCCTCTGTCCATATCTGGGATGACCTTCTTGAATACCTCGCCGTCAAGATCGACTTCCTGAACATCGATCATTCCGCTTCAGAGGTAGTTCTTCTCGGTGATTTCAATGCCCATAATGAGCTTTGGTTGGGCTCAAACAAGACCGATGCAGGTCGTGCAGTCGAAGCGTTCGCTCTTACTCAAGGGCTGGCCCAGCTGGTGACGCGCCCTGCTTTTTCCCCCGCGTCTCGTCACACGCCAGTAGCCTGCTGGATCTCTTTCTGACCACGCATCCTGTCCCTTACAGCACTGCTATCCTTCCCCCCTGGGTAACTCAGAGCACGGTGTTGTGGAGGTTAGGTTTCGGTCAGAACCCGCTATGGCAGCAGAAACTTCTTTTCTACCTTTCCCTTGGAGAGATGTCTGTTTCACTGACGCGGATGCGTCGGCTGTCTGTTCTTCGATGACCAAAATTATCCACGTCGGAATGGAGGAATACATCCCTCATCCAGTGGAAGTGCCTACAACCAGGGTCACAGCGCACTGGCAGTCAGTCTTTCTGGACGCTGGCCAAGCAGATTGAAAAGAAACTCTCACACAGCAGCCTTCCACCACTTACGTGTCAGGATGAAACGATTGTATCGGACTCAAAAGCCAAGGCGGAAGTCCCTGCCAAGACCTTTGCTGCCAACTCCACCATGGACGTCCACCCCAACGCCCAAGTGTCGTCAATTCAAAGGGTTCTCTACACTATGCGGGAAGTAACATTCAGGTATAAGATCGTAAGACGAGTGCTCAGAAAACTGGAAATTCGCTCATGTCTAACCCAACCCAAAAAAGGGATCTAAGACCGACCCTTACAACAGGCAGTATGGTTTCCGACACAAGCGATCTACAGGGGACCTCCTAGCTTACGCCACGCAATTGTGGAGTAAACTCATCCAGTCTTATGGTGAACTTCCATCCTATGGCCTCCCAGAAAAGCTTTGCAGATGGGTGGCTGACTTTATCTCTGCCCGCAAGATATCCGTCGGGATTGACGGGTTCTACTCTTCATCCCACAATGTCAACGCGGATGTTCTCCAGGGATCGGTCTTGTCTCCGACGCTGTTCCTCTTACATATCATATCAACGACCTCTTTTGCTGCACGATCAACCCAAACCACAGTTTCGCTGATGACAGAACTCTACATGCAGGAATTCAGAGTGACAGCCGATCTCTGCCGCTAAGCTGAAAAATAGACGACTTCCTCTCTGACGAGAGACCAGGAGGTTATCACTGCTTGGGGACGCAACAGTCTTGTACAGTTTAATGCTTCCAAAACACAGTACTGTATCTTGACGAACAAAAAGCGTCCTAAAGCTTATCCGGTTTCGATGGATGGCCGAGCTCTGCCAAAGTACTTTTCTCCGCATGACCTTCTCACTATATACAAGGCCCAGATAAGGCCTAGCCTCGAGTATTGCTCACACATTTGGGGTGCTGCCGCCCCGACTACATTATTTATGCTCGATGCTAACCAGAGGAGGGCTGTCCAACTGATCGATGACTCTTCTCTAACAGACAGTCTCGGGACCCTTTTGCACAGGCGGGCCGTCGGCGATCTAGCACTCTTGTACCGGTACACCAACCCGCTCTCTTCCATGATATAGGATAAATTCTAGAAGTTCCACTGAGGTAAAAAATGACCAGCCCCAACTATGGTTTGCACTCCCCCTAGACGAAATCCTGAATCCTTGGGTAGAAGGATTTGTTTTTATCAATCATCTAGAATCTAGACCATTGATTCTCAAGTGGTCTATTTCGACCCCTAGGGGTCTATGACAACCTGCAAGGGGTCTACGTCAGCGAAAAAAAATTTGGGGGTCCATGAAATGTGTGTTGAGCACATACACTGATAGTACCTATTTACTTACATCATACTATCCTATAATATCAAAACATATACATTATTTATAAAAGTACCTATGAAGTAAAAAATTATTATATACGTTATAAAATTGTGTAAGTTGTAGGATGTTGGTATTCGCTTTGTGATCGCAATACATTTTGAACTTGTAAAAACCTGAGAGTCGCAGTCTCAGAGCTTCGCTACC